GGCTGCAGCTCTGGGCAGGGTGTTCCCCTTTTCTGTGGGACATGACCTGGTTGCTTCACAATTCCGCGGTTGCACAGACTTACTAAAGGAAGTGACCATTGTGACTTGGGCATCACTTGACTGATGGTAATCAGTTAGAGAGAAGCGCACTGATTATTGAGTCTGTCCACGTAGGGTCTGTCTGGCCAGGAGAGAAAGGAGAGAAGAGGAGAGAAATCGTGCATTTGCCCGCGATGGGTTTTCTGGTTTGGGGATTAGCCTCCGGTAGAGTTTTGTCCTGGCAGGTGGATAAATTCCTATCCACATTGTTCCTGTCCATCACCAATAGTGTAAACCGGATACATAGTCTATCTTAATAGTACTTTTACTTTGTACAGAGGGCCCCTCAAAAGACTGGAAAATACTTTGAGATAGGATCACTAGTCATCTTGGAAAGTTTATAATACAGAGACAGCACAGAAAATAAAAGACCGTAGTACATGGATGCTAATGATATGGGATCAGAATATTTGAAATATTGATATTGTAATCATACCATATGTTTAAGAGGCCATGCCAGAAGGCACCCATTGAAAAGAAGCACGTATATATACTATCTCCTGAGTGTGGGTGTTTTTCCCTCTATATATCATACATATGATACAGTTTAGAAACTAGGCACAATAAGAGATTAAAATAACTAATAATAAAGTAGAACTATTGCAGCAATGCTGTAATAAAAGCTCTGTGAATATAATCTCTCTGTTTCAAAGTAGCTCACTGTACTTTCACCCCTGTTAAGTAAGACAAGGCTCACCCGAATGCAGACACCTTGGTACTTGGACACCTGATCTGATAACCAGGAGGACAGAGAAGTAACTAGTGGCATTCGGTATGGATAGCATGAATACGCTGGACAAAAGGGTGACTCACAACCTTGGAGCAGACAGCACACGATTTCATCACACTACCCAGCATGATATGTCGCTTAAAACCTACAAACTATATTCTTCCGGAGATTTTCATTTACTCTTTTTGGATTAAAGTTTGCTACAGGTACTAAACCTTCAAATAAATAATCTGGGTCAGGAGGAGCTAGTGCTGTCTGTGTGAGACACTGCTGACTAGCACTGCACTGTGGGGAAGCTGAGTTAGTAGGAGACTGCCTGGAGGTGATCACACTCTTATTTCATCCCACACAAAATGAGAAACTACAGACGGCACTGCAGGTTGTACAATAAGCAAGTATTTAATGTTCCGGGAGAGAACTGTCAATATAACTTAAGAAGTTATTGGTAAAAATAGCCTGCTTGGCTATGTTGGCCATCCACTATTTGCTTTTAGAGAATGATTGAATGAGTAAGATTTTTTTCAAGCCTGCCCTAGAGCCCCATGTTAATTGAATAGTTCCAAAGTGTTAGGTTAGTCTGCCTGAGAAACTATGAGAGATGGTATAGTGATCATGTCATGAATGTGTGAGTCTTGACTGAAATTGAACATTTGTAAAGAATGTCAAAGGCTGGTCTTCCTTGCCTTACAGAGGCCTTAGCTAGTTCCTGTTAGGCTAATGGAGCTGGTTTGTGCCCCCCCTCCCCCACTGGGAGAAATAAAGCATTGTTACAAGTGAGAGCTGTATGGTGGTATAAGGCTCTTCACAGCCCTAGGCAAAAACTTCTTAAAAGGAACCTGAGGTTAAAAAAAAAAAAAAAAGAGGTAGCTTTTTTTTTTTTTTTTTAACACAGGTTTAAAGAAAAACAAGACTCAAATGTACCTGTCTGCTAACAATGTTAACCTGTTTATTTACATAAATACACTGTTGTTACTTTTGGAAGTATTAGTTAAACCCTCATGAACCCTGAGTTTTATTTGTAAAGTGACAAGACACCATCTCACTCAGTTTGGATCCTGGCTTCCCTCAGAAGACCCAGGTCTTGTAAAAATTTTAAAAATTTAAACTGAAATTTTTTTGCCACATTTGTATATGGATTTTCATTTCAAGTGATAGTAAAAATCATACAGCTTCCCTAATTATACTTCTCAATAATACTTCATTGTTTAGGTTATAGTAATTTCCCCCTTTTCATGATTTCATTGACATTCAACTACAGTCCAAAAATATTCTTGAAATAAACCATTTTTAAGTTTTAAGCAACATGCTATTTGGAACAGCCTGATACTGTCTTGCACCTTCTGCTTGGTCCTGCCCAGGACATGGTTGATCCCTTTGTCCAGTACATCTGTGTTCATTGTATCCACACTGGATAATACCTCCTGCTTCCTAGTCACTTGGTAGACATTTTACTTATAAGGTCACCTGTATTTAACCCTCATTTTACTTAATAATAGCTTCATAGCATAGGAAATGATACTGGTAATTTGGATTTGCCTAAGAGAAGCGATGAAGTAACCTCTTTTAAGGTGGAAGTTCTCACCATAAATGGGAGTGGGGGTGGGGTGGGATATGCTTATATTACTATAAGACTAAATCTTTTGTGAAATTGTAAAAAGGGATAAAAGTTACGTTGGTCTTACTGTTGAATTCATTTTACAAAGTGATAACCACAATGCACAATAAATACTTCATATCTTTTAAGAAGTTGAATTTGTAGGTGGAAGACATAATCAAGAAGCCATGTTCTGATGAGATGCTTACAGCATGTTGTGTCTAACGCATTAGTCTTGTTAAAAGATTTCAGCTAAAGTTCTGAAGTGACTGGTTAGATGGCTTAGTGGTTAAGAGCACTTGCTCTTGCAGAGGACCCAGGAACCTTCACAGGCACCTGGCAGGCACATGCAGGCAAAACATAAAATTAAATATGTATACATAATAATAACAATAGCAAATATATAAATAAGAATAAATATGCATCATAAGTAAATAAGCACAATTAAATAAATTTTAAAGTTCTCTGAAAGCGAGTGACACTAAGCCATTCACAAGGTGGCTGCACTGATGCAGGAATAGATATGAACTAGAGAAACATAAAGCTTAAAAGAGAAGCTGCAGTTCAAGCTGCTGAAGACTTTGCTAGCACGCTAAAGGCTGAAGCTTCTGGGAAGTTATCACAAATGAGGAATTAAAAGAACATGTTTACTAATCTGCAGAAAAAGGGGAAGAAGAAACTGAAACAGCCTGAGATGTAGACATAGAAATATGATGAGGATGATGTATATAAATTGCAAAGGCATTAAAGGACAGAGCTATGGAATACAGGCCTCGGAAAGAGCTCAGCATAAAGCCATCATAAGGATTATAACTGCTGCAGCAACAAATGGGTAACTTAAAAAGAAACACAATACATGGTTTTTTTCAAAAGAATTGGGCATAACTTTCAGTGGTGGAAGCTTCTGGACCATTTCCTTCTCCTAACATCTAACCATCATGGTTGCCGTAGCTCAGAGATCTGACCGAATCAGAAGGACAGCAGTAGCCTAAAGGCCTGTGCCATTCACCTTACTTCATCACAGCTCATGGCATCTTGTAGTGTGTATCATGACTTATCACAGGAAGAAGAGTGAGTCTAATCCAATAAGATTTCAGAAAGAGAACACATTCATATAGCTCATTATTATTCTAGTGCATTATTAATAGTTATATTTTGTTAATGATCTCTTTGTGTCTAATTTGTAAGTTACACCTTATAATAAATAAAATGTAAAGAAAAGGGCAGCACATAGATATACTCTGCAATTTAGATATTCAGTGGAGGGCTTAAACTTCATATCCTGGGGGTAAGAAGGAAGTACTATTTGGGGGCAGGCTAAATTTGAAGCTGAACAACCCAATATGATCCTTGGTCTTTTCTTTTCTTGATAATTAGACTAGGAATAAAGGCTAAGTAAAATTAATGGCTGATAATAGTCTAATTAACAATCAGGTTAAAAGTTTTCCCATAATTCTTTAGGATTATGCTCTGCTTTAAAAAGTGCTTTTCTTTCCAGTGTAATGATGGAATATTTGAACTGTACTGTTCTATTTAGAGTTATTCACCTTTTTGTAAAGATAGATTTCATTAGCATATAAATATGGGGAATAGACCAAAAATGGAGACAATTTTCAAGGCAAAGGTTTATGATCAAGCATCAGATAGTGCTTGGTTCACAATAGGTTCCTCTACCTTCCTAATGCTATGACCCTTTAATACAGTTCTTCATGTTGTCAGGACCCCAACCATAAAAATATTTTCATTGCTACTTCATAACCGTAATTTTGCTACTGTTATGAATTGTAGTGTAAATGTCTAATATCTAGGATATGTGACCCCCAAAGGGTTGTGACCCACAGGTTGAAAACTGCTTCTTTAGATAGATGAAAATATTTCTCAACTAATGAAAGGAATAATGATAGGTCTTTAAAAAAATTTAAATCCTCATGTCTAAAGATTTTATTGCTGGTAATGCTACAAAAGTTCTAGTGGAATTTGACTATATTATATTGATTTTGCATGTTTAAGTATGGGACATAAACATGAAATGTTCTCTTCCTTTGGTGCTGGTGATGAGACCCAGGGTCTTGCACATGCTAAGCAAGGGCTCTACCACTGAGATGTGTACCCACCTCTGAAACATTCTTTTACAAGATCGTATTTTAATGTCATCGAGGAAAGAAGTGTCTGTGGAACGTCATCTGAATTTATTTCACTGCTGGTCACATCTTCAAGGACCATATTTTCTGTGCACATTATTCATTCATTTGGGCCCACCCTAGAATTATTCACTTTTCAAACAAACAAAAAGAAAGAATGGAAAAGAAATATGTCTGCCATATAAGTTTATGGTTGTATGTTCAGTTAATTTGTCGTGTTGGCCTCCAGTTTGCTGCTGTTAAGGACAATGGCACCGTTACAGTTTTAATTCACATTACATTTCTCTATGCCCTCACTGAAAACTGACGTTTCCAATTGTATCCAAAATATTCAATACCTTACTCAAGCTGTGCATCTTATACAGTATGTGGTCTCTTCAGACTATCAAATTGACATATATTAAAAGTAAATATTACCTAAGTGAATTTCTGAAATTAAAAATGCACATGTAAAAATTCCGAGTAAACTATTCCCTAGAGTTAAGCATTTTGCCAAGTTCTGTATGCCTAATCATAATATGATTAAAAAAAACACTCACTCAGCATTCTAAATATAGATGTTACTCCTTTGCAGGAGACTCTAAACTCTCTTGACAAGATTAGATAAGAGAGAGAAAATGGGAGGGGTTAGTTATGTCCTTCACCGTGTGGATCTTAGGGACTGAGTACAGGTCACTGAGCATGGTGGCAGGAACCTTTACTGTTTGAACAGTTTTGCCAGCCCAGTAGATAAACATTCTCAAGTAAAATTACTTACGTGGACATCAGTTTGTTGCAGATCAGATGTTCACTCCCAAAGTAATCATACAGGCAAATTACAGGTTTATCATAGTTTACCCATTAGCTTCCTCCAGTACTGCCACCTTACATTTTGTTATAAGTGGTTTTTCTACTTTGATTACATGTCTTTCTTTAATTATAATATTTGTAAAAATTATTGACTTTATTCAAATAGTATGTAGAGTTTCTTCTTCCAGAGAAATGTGTTCAAATGAATGAAGATCCAGATGTGGAACCCTGACTCCTGCTTGGCTGCAAGCTTGTTCGCTCTTCTGTTTGTTTTCTGTGTTCTGAGTAACTGAAACTCTTCTATTTTTAACAACTTAGTATAAGCCCTTCACATTGCTTTGCTGCCTTCTGAACTAATGTCTTTGTTTATGCTTGTCTCCCTGTCTCAGTGTCATTTTAAGCAGGAGTATTGGGCTTCAGTTCCTTAGTAGCCAGAACTCACTGAAAGGGACAGAGCTGTTTGCTCTGTGTTGTTGTTTCTGATCTCACGTCTTTTTATAGTTTTATGGTATTTCTGCTGTCAGGTTTTTTAATTACTTTTCTAAGAACACTATAACAAAAACACAAACTAAAACAGCAGCAGTTTGTGGTCCCGGTTCTATAAACCCTAACCTTGATGCCAATGTCAAATGGTTGTCAGGAACACAATCTTCTGAAGGCTCCAGGGAAACTTCCTTGTCTCTTCCACATCTGGTGGTGACCAGTATTCCAGGGTACTCTTGCCTTCCAGATTCAGCAGTCTGGTTCCTGCCCTTTGTCTTCATGCAGCTGGCTTGCTTTGCTTTGCTTCCCTCTCCTCTCCCTGCCCTTCCCTCTCTTCTCTTAAGCACCACAGTCATTGTCTTAGAATCCATTCTACTCTACCATGGACTATCTTGATCTAACTGTACCTACTTGCAAATGAGGTTTCATTCACTTATGCAAAGTCCTCCCCTTCCTCTTTTGTTCTTTGGTTGAAATGGTTTAGGGACCAATATCCAGTCATTAGAATTTGGAGATAATAAAGGCTTATTCTTTGTTTATATTAGAATATAACATTTTTCTAAGTCAATTGGGGTTTGGATGGATATCTTTAAATGGCTGAGCCTAATCACTGTTTTTATATGTTCCTGTTTAGCTTTTGCAAGCATTTGGATAATGTGAGAGTTGAAATGCAGGGATGTCTACTATCTGCCCACCACCATCTCCTGCTGTTGCCAAGACAGAGATTGCTTTAAGTGGTGAATCACCATTGTTGGCAGCTACCTTTGCTTACTGGGATAATATTCTCGGTCCTAGAGTAAGGCACATTTGGGCTCCAAAGACAGAACAGGTACTTCTCAGTGATGGAGAAATAACTTTTCTTGCCAACCACACTCTAAATGGAGAAATTCTTCGAAATGCAGAGAGTGGAGCTATTGATGTAAAGTTCTTTGTCTTATCTGAAAAAGGAGTAATTATTGTTTCATTAATCTTCGATGGAAACTGGAATGGAGACCGAAGCACTTACGGACTATCAATTATACTTCCACAGACAGAACTTAGTTTCTACCTCCCACTTCACAGAGTGTGTGTTGACAGATTAACACACATTATTCGGAAAGGAAGGATATGGATGCATAAGGTAAGGGCTTTTTAGCATGTTCCTGGTAACCTGATCATTGAAAGTTTTTTTTTTTTCTGGTACATTTAAATTTAAGTTTTGGCAATTATATGCAGCCAAATCCAGACAGTAGCTATTATTTTGTGTTTCCTGGACACAGAGAGATCTGGTCTCAGTGACTGTGGTCTTCATGGTGATAATGGAAGATGATAGTGGCTCTCCATTGCAAGTGAAAAGTTAAGGCTTAGAAGAATTGACATTTAGTCTCAATTTGTTTCGGAAGCTTTGACTGTAAATCCTTTTTGTTTTCCCTTTCACGGATGACTTACAACTGTGTGAAAATATAAAAGTTGAAAGGTTTTATAAGCTGCCAGCCACATAACATTTTGTTGAGAAGCCACTTTCCCAAATTCCCAGTTTTGTAAAATGGGGAGCACAGACCAAATGGATTCTAGGAAATTCATTTCTTCAATTTGCAAATTTAGCTAAAGGACATCTTGTTTTCTCCTGATATTTACCTTGCTGTGTATTTTTGGCATATATAAAGAACAAACTCAATTCTTCCTATTTTATGGTTTAATACCATCCTGAAAGTCCATTAATTTTATAAGACTAATTTTATAAGGCCTCTGATGTATTATAAAAGGAAATAGCATTTTCTTAAGACTAGTTTTCTTTGTTACACCTGTCTTGGACTCGCTTCCTTATTTCTGACACACTTGATGAAAATCACCAGATTTAAAAAGCTTACCTGCAGGTAGTAGCACAGGCACGTAGTTGAAGGGCTCAAGTCTCAGGCAAGAGGATTTGAGTTCTGTGCCAGCCTGGTCTGCCTAGTGAGATCTGGTCCCAGAAATGAACAAAACTTAAGCAGGCGTTCCTCTGTTCCTCAGATACAAGTCAATCCCGTTTGATTTGAATAGTGTGTAATTATTTTCTTTTGAAGCCACAGGTGTTATGTGGACTCTCTTCTGCCAAATTATCTCATATCTTTACTCTAGAAGAAAGGATACTTTGATTATATTTTATGTTGTGTTGGGGAGCGTGGACTTGTTGGGATAGTTTCTTGTGAAATACACATGACAACGCATGTACATTGAAAAATGAACAGGCATCAAAATGTATTTGTTAAGTAAATTTTCTTTTTCTTAGGAAAGACAAGAAAATGTCCAGAAAATTGTTTTGGAAGGCACAGAGAGAATGGAAGATCAGGTAGAGTGCAATTCACATGCTGCCAGTGACACTGCCCACTGCTTATGTCTGTGTAAAGCTGGTGGGTACCTTGGTGAAGGAGCTAAAGATGTAGTGATTTACAAAGGGAGCCTGAAAACGAATAATTCTTGTGAAGCTGAATAGAATAAACTAAATAAAAATTTCTGCAGCCCAAATCTGAAGCCTTGAATTAAAAAAAAATAATTATGTCTACAAATTAATATTTGGCCACCCTTTTTCAATCTGTCAGAATAACTCTGGGATCATTTACTCATAGCAAAAGTAAGAAATTACATGTGATTTATTTATTTATAATAGTTTTTTAAGTATAATATATTCTGATTATGGTTTCCCCTCCCTCAACTCCTCCCAGAACCTCCCCCACTTCCCTACCCACCCAAACCATACCCATTCTTTCTCTCTCTAATGACTACATAAACAAACATCTAAATAATAATAATAATAAAGTGACATTAAATTAAAGGAAAACAAACCAGAATAGGACAAGACAAATAAATAGAAGAAAAAAGAACAAAAGAAAAAGCTCAAGAAACACATATAGACATAGACATACACATTTACATACACAGACATCCCATTAAAAACACAAAACCGAAAATCATAATATGTTCGTAAGGAAAAGGAAAATCCTTGACATGGCATTATGAGTATAGAACCTCCAAAAATGCCACTGACTCTGTTTTGTGTTGGCCATCTACTGCTGAGCATGGGGCCTGGCTTTCAGAGTGGTCTGTATACCCAGTGAGACTTTTGGAGAAAATTAATTTTTCACTTATGAGCAGTTGTCAGTTGAAGATAGTTTTTGGGTGAGGGATGTGGGCTTACATCCACTTCCCCTTAGCATTGGGACCTCATTAGGTCCAGACCTGTGCAAGCCCTGTGTGCATACAACTGTTAAAAGGTATTCCTTCTACAACTATTTTCACAGAAGATGCTACAGTGTGAAGGGAGTGTAAATACGCCTGAGGTATCTGTCTAGAAGTTCAAAGCCAGCAGTAGGCAGTTTTTAAAACTCAGACTATTTATATGTATTCCATGGTAGAGTTATTTGTTTTATTATTGAAATTTGCTGGTAATATCCTTTATCTTCTTAACATCCAGGCTTCTAGTAACACTGACTCTAGAGAATTCTGCCGTGTTTATCCTGGAGCTTTAAAAACATGATTATGATGAAGTGGCTTCCCAGGTAGAAGTTAAATGCAGACTGTATCAGTATGGGGCAGACAAGTTCCTCTGAAGGGGTGTCAGTGGAGAGGAATCCCCATCGGGAAAGGGCTACTTTTTCCCATTATCCCAGCATGCCACCCACCCTCATTATTTCTCCTTATAAAACTCCAGCCTTTAAACACGGCTGTGTGGTCTTTTCTCTCATTTTCCTTAGCATGACTGAAACAGAATGGTACTTGACAAAAGTAATTGTTTTGAATATTTCTAAGAATTTGAGAATGTGGTGGCATGACTCTCAGTTTGATCCCTCGTGTCATAGTTAGGCTTTCTATTGCTGTGAAGAGACGCCATGACTACTGCAACTCTTATAAAGGAAAACATTTAATTGGGGCTAGTTTACAGGCAGGTGGCATGCAGGCAAAGAGCTGCACATCTGTTTTGTTTTGTTTTGTTTTTTCAGACAGGATTTCTCTGTGTAGCACTGGCTACCCTGGAACTTTCTCTGTAGATCAGGCTGGCCTTTAACTCAGAGATCGACTACCTCCGTCTCCTGAATACTGGGATTAAGGTTTGTGCCACTACTATGCATCTTAATCCGAAGGCAGTGGGAGCATATATGAGACTTCAAAGCCCGCCTCCAGTGACACACTTCCTCCAACAAGGCCATACCTCCTTATAGTGCCACTCCCTATGGGCCAAGCATTCAAACATGAGTCTACCATGGGGGCCATTACTATGCAAGCCACCATACCTCTCAAGCACACACACACACACACACACACACACACACACACACACACACACATGACCTTTACAAAATCATGTGTTATACTCTTATGAATGATAAATAGCTTTTCAGGGACTGTGTAGTGGTGGCTCACGCCTTTATTCCCAGCACTTGGGAGGCAGCGGCAAGTGGATCTCTGTGAGTTCTGGGACAGTTTTTGTGTACAAAGTGAGTTCAAAGGCAGACAGGGTTACACAGAGAAATGCTGTCTCCAAAACAAAACAAGAAAGAAAGAGTCTAGGAAAAGACCTGACACTAAAGGATTGAAAGTCTAATCTTTACTTGTTTGCTGATCAGTAAGCAGGGTCTCCAAGAAAAGTCTCTTTCACTGACCTCTGAACTGTATTTCTGGAGTAATTAGGGAGAGTCATTTCAACAGAAGGAAATTTAGAACTAAGTAAAATTTGCATTTAGTGAGATTTTTGTTCTTGAAAGCCAGAGCCCTCTACTTACTAGGGTGAGTTTCTGCTTTTCAGCTCTACTCTAAAAATGTTATCCTCACCTTCTGTGTCAAGAAGGAAGTACACAGAGGATAAACTAAAGAGACTTTAAGTGGAAACATTGTCTTGCAGAAGTTTAAGTTAGAGAAACCCAAGGAGCCAGTTTCTTCTGCATTCGTCCTGTAAGATTTTGTGTTGAGCCCCAATGAGACTGTTCATTACTCATGGTGATGACAAATGCCCAGGAGTCCATGTCTAAAGTGCTGTAAATGCCAGAACCCAAGGGAAGATAAGCTCACCCTTTCTGCTTTATACTTGCATAGCTGATGAAATGTGCTTGCAACAGCTCTATTATGAGACTTACTACCGCTTCGGGATGGTGCAGCACTCCTAAACAGCTTCAGCCCTGGTTAGCTTGGGGTCCTTACATCTGTCACCTGACAAAGTCACTGAACAAGGAAGGAAATTTAACATACATTATTGAATGCCACATCTTAATCGTATTTGTAAACAGACATTTCAGCAATTACTTTAAAAAGCAGAAACAATGAGTAGTTTATTCTGGAGGTTATTGTAAGATGAATTTTTTGAAATAATAAAACTTTCTGTGTCTGCAAAGACATTTATAGATTAGGATAATTTTCCAAAGGAAATGAGTACCCTCCATGATAAGGGGATTTGAAAATGGATTTCTGTTTGTTTGTTTGTTTGCTTGTTTGCTTGTGTGTGCTAAGGATTAGACCTAGAGTCTCATACATGTCGGGCAGCTGTTCTGCTTTAACTAAGTGGTTCATAATCCTCAACCCTTAATTTGAGGTTCTAACTTTAAAATATTTGTGAGGGTTTAAATAATCATTTAATGAAACCCAAGTGAACGAAGAAAACTTCCTGAAGTGAATATAAGTGATTAATTATTTTAAAATCTGTTTAACTGAGATGGATAAACACTTGGCATCTTCAGCATTTCACTTAGGTGGTCACTAACTGCCGGGAGAGGTGGTAGTAAGTGGTGTCATTCTTGTTTCACACACTGCAGTTATGCCACAGACCAGATGCCAGAACATACAAATTTTAAAGTGATGATTGGGAGATAAAGTAAACGGTAGTTGGGCAAGTTCTGCAAAGGAGATCTTCTGTCTTACTGAGTCTTCTCTATGTGGTAACTTTAGTATGCACTTGAGTAGATTATGTCATTTGAATGTGAAGGTTGGATGTTGAGAGGAACCTTCCTGGTTCCTTTCTAATGATGCAATGTCTCTTCATGCTTGACTTTTCTCTTTTTAAAAGGAAAAAAAAAATTAAAAAAAGGAAAATATAATGATGGCCTTCAAGAGCTTTTATGTCTTAGTTAAATTCCAAAGGAGATTCTTTCTAATTGTGGCATTGTAGTTTAATTGTTGCATGTTATAAACCATACTCACCAAAGGAAATTTTTCCTAAAAGAATGAAAATAAGTTTAAAAAGCATGAAAATACTTGACAGTTGTTTCTGGAATGGTAGGCTTGTTTGGGACTGTGTTGAGCAAGTTTCTCTGAGGGTGTTTTACTCTTTGCATCCATTTAAAATGTTTTTACTACCTGGCTTACCCACACTGTGATTTCCTTCACTTTGTTATGTTTGATACAGGGTCAGAGTATCATTCCCATGCTTACTGGGGAAGTCATTCCTGTGATGGAGCTGCTTGCATCTATGAAGTCACACAGTGTTCCCGAAGAAATAGATGTAACTGCCGTGGGGCATCTGTACCCTTTTATGGATTCCCTTGAGTGATTCGTGTGGAGAGAGGGGGGCAAAGAGAGAGAGAGAGAGAGAGAGAGAGAGAGAGAGAGAGAGAGTTAATATTCTTGTTTTAATAATGTAATGTTGTAATACTATTCATATGAAGTATCACCTTCAATCCAGTAAGCACACATAAAGTGCTGAATTTTCTTACCAAACAGGTTTGTTTTTTTTGTTTTGTTTTGTTTTGTTTTGTGATCAGACATGTTCTGATAAAACTAGTTTGCTTCACTACTTCTCCACTTTTGTATTTCCTAGAAGAGGGGAAATTCCAGGCTTTTATAGAAGCAACTAGTGTTACATACAGTGCTTTTGAACAGAGCAGTGTACCAATTAAGCTGTGAGTGGGTGCCTCATTCTCTGACTTCTTTTTTTATTTATTTTTTTCTTATGTGTTTGGGTGTTTTACCTACAAGTGTGTTTGTATACCATTTGCATACAGTACCCTGGAAGCCAGAAGAGTGTCAGATCCCTAAGACCTTGGAGTTACAGACATTTGTGAGCTGCCATGTATTTGTGCTGGGAAGAACAGCCAGTGCTCTCAAGCACTGAGCCATTTCTCCAGCTCCCTGTTCACCAGTTCTTTGACATTTGTTGAGTGTATTTCAGTCACATATTCTCCATGTATAGCTGTCGTTAGACACTGTTCCTAATGCTGACTTGTCATTATGCTTGGTCTCCTGATTCTGATAGCTTGGAGGGGGAAGTTGTAAAAATTGTTGTTTAACCTGCCTGGCCAACTTTCCCCTTTGTTCCTCTGAAAAGTTCATGCGGCAGCACTTTATAGGTATTCTTGATGCTCATAATGAGAGTGCTGGGTCCTGCTGACTCTAGACGTCAGCATACATATTACTAAGAGTTCTCTCCCCCTGTGGTAAACAGACTGACTTTGTGTGTGTGCCTTTTAGATAGCTGATACAGTCCTCAACGATGATGACATTGGTGACAGCTGCCACGAAGGCTTTCTTCTCAAGTAAGAATTTTACTTCTTTTTCTGAATGCTTAATAAAGCAGATAAAAATCTTAATGCTCCCCCATGACAAGACTTAATGGAAAAATTGATAGAATATCTACTTACTCCAATTATTTAGAGGTAGCATTGCACATTTGAACTGTTGCTCACATGTGTATTGTTTACACTCAGACAGTAGGGACATATCTGACATTACCCCATCCACAGTCTAAAAAAGCTCAGTTTCCATAGTAGCCAGAGAAGTTCTGGTCTTTTGTTTGCTTCTGTTTTCTTCTTGTAATCCTCATTAAAGATAAACCTCAGAAACCTATCAAACTAAGTTGCATTATACATTTTTGTGAACTCTGTAGATCTAGAAATAGAAATCGTATTTTGGACTGACCTTTTTCATCTAACTATGGAATTTAGTACTTAAGAGCATGAGCTCTAAAACCAGACTGCTTACAATTTTCTGGGTTACAACTGGGTCAGCTTGGTCAAGCTAACTACCAAAAGCTGTACCTCCATTTTCTTACCTATAAAATGTGAACAGTGGGCCGGGTGTTGGTGGCACGCCTTTAATCCCAGCCAGTCGGGAAGCAGAGGCAGGCAGATCTCTGTGATGTGAGTTCGAGACCAGCCTGGTCTACAGAGCGAGTTCCAGGAAAGCCTCCAAAGCCACAGAGAAACCCTGTCTCGAAAAACCAAGAAAAAAAAAGTGAACAGTGATAACAGATTTTTTTTTTTCATTTCGGTTTGTTTTGTTTCTAAGACAGGGTTTCTCTATATAACAGTCCTGGCTGTCCTGGAACTCACTCTGTAGACCAGGCTGGCCTTGAACTCACAGAGATTCTCTCACCTCTGCCTCCCAAGTGGTGGGATTAAAGGCGTGCACCACCACTGCCCGTCAATAGCAGCTATTTTATAGGTTCATTGTAAGCACTGAGTGAGAGGAATCATAGAAAGCACCCGGACAGTGCCAGGCATGTCAGCTCCCTCAGTGACCAATAGCTAATGTTTTTTTATTTATATTTGCTCTACGAAATAGGAAGTGGTGGAGCCAATACTTACTGAACACTAATGTGCTCATCTGCAGTGATGACTGTTCTGCATGTGCACCCCATCTCCTGGGTGGGCTCCTGTACAAGTTGCAGACTGTCACCAGCTTTTATTCTTAAAAATGAGAAGTGAATGAGCATTTTTTTTAAGTATTCACCTCAAGATCTACATTTTCTCCCTTTAATCTCACAATTAAATGCCAGGTGTGTGCAGCTTTAGCAGAAAAGGTCTTCATGGCTTGAATCGGAAGCACTTTAGAGTTTGCTAGTGTCAGCCATCCATATCAGTCATCCATATATTGTTTCCAGATATGTCTTAAACAGAATTACTATAAAGTGATGGCATTTTATTAACTAATTGGGGTATCTTTTTCTTTAATATTTATGTAATTGTATGTGTGTGTGAGTATGTATGTATGTATTATGGGCACCACACGTGTACCTGTGTGAAGGCCAGGAGAGAGCTTTGGGTTTCATGGAAATAGATGGTGTGAGTCTTAGTATGAATGCTATATCTTCTCTACACGAGCAGCAAGTGCTCTTAAGCCGTGAGCCATCTCTCCAGCCTGGATTGTCTTAAGACTCAAGTAATATGATGTCTGTGAAAGGCCCCTGGAAAATGCAGTTTTATACAAATAAAAGATAACATTATCTGATAGCTTTGGTGTTGGTCAAGTAAATAAAGCTCACTTATTTTTCTCGTTTGTGAAGTTGTAATCCTGCCAATGTTTTAATTAACCTGCAGTGCCATCAGCTCACATCTGCAGACCTGTGGCTGTTCTGTCGTAGTAGGCAGCAGTGCAGAGAAAGTAAATAAGGTAACTCCTTTTATAGTTCAAATAAGGTCTGACTTTAATACTACTAGCATGTTGTCAATTATCATTTAAATATTAGGTTGCAGTTGAAACACCCTAATAGTATAAGGAGACAATGTAAGTTTACCAAATTATTCTGATACATCTAGCAAAAATGACTGTAGTAAAATGTGTAAGAATTCAATTTCCACTTTGATTTTGATAATTCATTACTCTCAGTTGTATCATAAGTTGTTTTTCTTGTTTGTTTTTTTTTCTTTTTGCTTTGTTGTTTTTTCAGAAGGGTCTCACTCTATGGTCTGGGCTGGACTGCAACTCATATGTAGACCAAGCTAGTCTCAAACTCCCCACAGTACACTTGCCTCTTCTTCTCACATACTGAGATTAAAAGTATGCACTACCTTGCCTGGCCTTTAAATGAGATATTTTCCAAATACTTTTCTTCTATTTCCCAGTTGTTTCTTATTCCTGTATGACTTTACCTACTAAACAATTTGTTATTGGATGTGTGAGGTAATGGGAAACTGTATTGGTGAATATAACCGTGACGTACAGAGTTTAAAACAAATAAATTAGAGCAAGTAACAGGGCAGCCAGCACTGTTATATAGAGCAGCCGTGATCAGCAAACAAAACAATTTGAGAGTAAGAAAAAGTAGTTAATATAAAAGAGCAAGTTAAATAATTCATTCAGCTTCTGGAGTTGATGTATGAAATATATAAATCTATTGCCATGTACACAAGGGGTAGCACATAAATCATTAATTTTCTTGTTGTCAGGGAAGTTATAGAAAGGTCAGCATTGAACTGAGAGACTTGAGCTTGGATGTAGGTGAGTCCTACACTACAAAACTACCTTTTCAGGGAGTCTTCCAGGGTCGCTCCCTAAAAGAGATACACATGGGGGGAGAACTAAGATAAGTGATCAGTTGTTTCCTCAAGGTTAGTGTACTGCTTTAATTAAACCACAAGTGTACTGCTGTCTTTATAGTCACTAAAGATACACAAATATATATCCATAATATATATCCATATCAATTTGATATTAAAAATTCATATTAATTTTTTTCAAAAAGTTTAACATGTAAATATGTTAGGAATGGTTACTTGCTTTACAGAATTATCTTTTTTTTGCAAGCAGTTCCTGTGTACTTATATAAACTTTAATTTGCCAAATTTATATTTCTCATTCATACGTTTATGCTCTCATTTGGGACTGTCATGTGAGACCCCCCAAAAGTAGCTTTCCACTTGAGTTGCTGGAAGCCTTAGGTTCCCTAAGGGTGGGGCATCTTGGTTGGCTTTATGAAGGAGAAAAGCTCCATGGTTTGGACTTCATTTATTAAATACATTTTTCATCTTTCATCTTCTTTTCAGTTGAATAGCTTGTCTTTTGTCTTTTCATTTTGAGACATAAGTTGTCACTACTCTAGTTGAAAACCACTGTCTTCAAGCTGTCTGATGATATGATCAGAGTTCTGCATACACACACTTACATGGCTTTTTACTGTTCCCTAATACAGCTCCAGGTCAACTCTTCTTAGTGCCACCGATTTCTAACCCACCACAGGCACTTGTTTCAAGTAAAACTTTGTAGTTTTTTCTGTGGAAAGTTTGGACAGTCCCTGTTGTTCATTGTAGCAGAATTTGTGCATTCATCAGATGGTGGTCCCCTCATTTAAACACATGACTTTCTTCCCAGAGCTGTTTGCCTACTTAAAAAGCACTTATTGCTGGATAGAGGTTCAGTCAATTATTGCTTTAGGTTATTATTTCTCACTGAGATACAGGTCAAATAAATTTGGAAAAGAACAAATATTGTTCACTTAGAGAACAACGTTTATTCAAATGCAGCAAGTTCTGAGATACCATGCAGTTGATTTACCAACTACTTCCTAATCTTAACTGACCACAAAATCCCTTTTGTAAACTATATGTGCCCTGTTCAGGTAACCAAGGGATACTCCTTACTTGGGATCTGTTTTAGTGATGGCAACAAAAATTTCTATTTAAGTTTCTTTCATAGCAAGCAGTGATCTTTTTATTTCACATTTCAATGCCAAATCTTTTCTTCTCTAGATAGTGAGAACATTATGCCTTTTTCTGACTCCAGCAGAGAGGAAATGCTCTAGGCTGTGTGAAGCAGAATCATCCTTTAAGTATGAATCAGGACTATTTGTACAAGGCCTGCTAAAGGTATACTTGCCATTTATTTATCATATGTGAATCCACAAGTAAAAATGAATTTTAAGAATAATTACTAAGAATCTTTGTAAAGTGTATTATTATTTAATGTATCATATTTGTAGTTTTCTTGGAACTGGTTTCTTTTAATAGTTCTGAACATGGAGTGTATGTCTTATGGATTTATAGTTAGAGTCATCCATGAAGCACCATGAGATAGTATTTACATTTCACTTGGTTCCTGCTAGCTGTGTGTCTAGCCTCAGTATTTTCTTTTTAAACACATGCTTGAATCAGACTGAGCCTCTGAAATGGTAATGTTTCTTTTGCTTACTGAGGATATTTGGATATGTAATTGAAATGTGTTTTAAAGCTTATGCAAAATGTCTGTGTTTAGTACTTATGTTTTTAATTTTTATATTAAATTTAGTTCATTTTCAAGAAGTAAAACAGATTAATATAAATTAGCAATTTTTTTCAATAATTAAGTAGAAACATTTATTTTTTCAGCAAGCTCTGGGTTTGATTGAAAGACCCTATGTCAAAAAAGATTAAGGTGGAAGAGCCATCAAGGAAAATCCCAGACATCAGCCTCCGTTTTCCACACACATGCATACAAACATACATGTGCACGTACAAACACATGTACACTCAGCACACATGAATACTCATATGCACGTGCATGCATGTTACACTTAATGCATGTGTGTGTAGTGTATACACTACACAAAGCCATAAAGAAGTGGCTTTTCATGATCATTGCAGGTCTTTCATGGTTATTCTTTTTTTTTTTTTTTTTTTGGTTTTTTGAGACAGGGTTTCTCTGTGGCTTTGGAGGCTGTCCTGAAACTAGCTCTTGTAGACCATGCGGGTCTGGAACTCACAGAGATCCTCCTGCCTCTGCCTCCCGAGTGCTGGGATTAAAGGTGTGTGCCGCCACCACCAGGGCTTTCATGATTATTCTTAAGGATGTAAGCATAGCAAACTGAAAGAAAATGAAGTGAGTATTGCTTCAGGTACCCTAAATAAACTTATGTATTCAAGGAACTTTCTTACTTCTGTGAAGCAAAGTCTGTATTCAGCAGACCTACAACCAACATTATACCAAATAAGGAAAAGCTGAAGTCATTGTGTCCAGGATCAGGAACAAGATAATGATGTCTACTTTCACTATTTTTTTGGGGGGGGGGGTTTCCTGAGACAGGGTTTCTCTCTCTAGCTTTGGAGCCTGTCCTGGCACTCGCTCTGGAGACGAGGCTGGCCTTGAACTCACAGAGATCCGCCTGCCTCTGCCTCCAGAGTGCTGGGATTAAAGGCCTCCGCCACCAACTCCCGGCAGTACTTTCACTACTTTTATTCAGGCTAGTGTCATAAGTCTTTGCCAATGCAGAAAAGCATAGACTCCAGGCTGAGGCTATACCTCAGTTGCTTAACATGCTTGATGCCTTAGACTCCACCAAAATAATGCTATAAATGATATATTGAGCCAGGGTGTACAGTATACAACCTAAAAAAATCAACCTTTTTTATGCCAGTAATGATTGCTAAATAAAAGAAATGAAGGAAGCAATGCCACTCCCTGTAGCTATAAAATAAACAACCCTGTGGATAACTTTCCCCAAGAAGTGAATGATGTCTGCTACAGAAACTAGAAAGCACTGGTGAAAGAAAAAAATGGGCAAATGAAAGAAAGATACCCAGTATTGATGGATTGAAAGACTGCTGCTAAAAACATCGGTCCAGTCCAGAGCTTTGTGCAGAAGTGTATGAAGAGCTTACAAAGATGTCTTCACAGAACTAAAAACAGCACCCCTCCGTTTGCTGCCATTTGGAACCACAGTATCCCCAAAGGCTCACATACTTTGTTAAACGTTTCATCTGAGCTGGTGCTACTGTTGAGAACTGGTGGAAATGTTAGGAATTTTGGAATGTCAAGAGACAGTAAATCACTGAGGACATGCCCTTGGAGGGTATAGTAGGAGCCTGGCCTGCAGCCTCACTCCTATCCATCCAGGCTCCGCCCTGCATGCCTTGCCATGGTGTTCCACCTCTCCATGGGCCCAAAGTAAGGCCAACTATGACCATAGACTTAAACAGTGAGTCAGAAGAGGTATTTCCTCCCTAAAGCTGATTTTCTCATACTAATGAAAATCTGATTAATACAGACACCGACTAGGCAAAGCAATCTAATGCAAAAAGAACAAAGCTGGTAGCATAGAAATACCTGACTTCACACAGACACCAGTGGAACAGAATCAAAAACCCAGATTTAAATCCTCAGGTTTATGGTGACTGAATTCTGATGGTTACAGTAAGAATGCACATCAGAGAAAGGGAAGTCTTTTGCAGTAGGGCTTCTGGGATCCTGGTTATTCTATGTAGAAAAGCTCCTTTCTTCCCAGATACAAATCAAGCTGGATCAGTCACTTGAAACTGAGAGCCTATACACAAAAAAACACTTCAGGACATTGATCTGGGAAACGGATTTGGTTTGCTTGGTTTTTTTGTTTGTTTGGTTTTTATAACCCAAAATCATAAGCAACAAGCCAAAAAGCTGACAGATTACATCAAACTGAAAAGCTTTTGCACCACCAAGAAAGCAATCAACAGAGTGAAGTGAGAGCCTATAGGATGAGAGAAAATATTTGTGAACAATTCATCAGATGGTTAATATAAGTGTTTCATCAAAGCAAATGAGCAGGTAGACTGATGGAGTGGACATCTTTGAAGATCGGAAAATAGCCAGTAAATGTATGAAGTGGTTCAAGGTAAATTCAAAACAACCATGAGATATTACCCCATTTAGATGGATATTATCAATAACAACAACACAATAAACACTTAACAAGGATACAGGGACATGGGGAAAGGATACTTGTCACATCACTGATGGATTATTAATTTGCCATTATTAAGAACAGTATGGCATTTAAAAAAATAAAACTAGAAGTGGTAGAGTACTCTCCTGGAACATATAAGGTTCATCACTATAATAAATGAGCAATTAGACATATGATCCAGATAGCTCACCATTGGCCAAGTCCTTAAAGAAAATGAAATCATTATGTGGATAGGACACCTGCACTTCCATGTTTACAGCAGCACTGTTCCCCATAGCTGGCATATAGGATCAATTTAAATGCCCATCCACAAATGAATGGATCAAAAAAAACGGTACATATGCACAATGGGATATTTAATCACAAAAAGGAAAGTCTATTGTTTGCTGCAACATGGGTGATACTAGAGCACATTGTGTTAAGTGGAATAAGCCAGGCACAGAAAGATAAATGCTGTATATAATTTATATGTAAAAGCTAAAACATTTGTGTCATAGAAGTAGAAGGTAAAAGAATTACCAAAACATAGAAGGGATACTGGGGAGGGACTGGATAGAGGAGGGGGGAGAAGAAAGGAGAGGAGAATGATTATTAGGCTTAGGACTGCAGTTGCATAAAAAGAATAACTTATAATGTTCCCTTGTACTGTAGAATGATTATGACAGTCAATTCTACTTTTCTGTTTAATATATAGGAGACAGGGAGAGAGAGAAATGTAGGACAGAGGTTAATACAGGGTATCTATAACTTGCCAGTGTTTTTTAGGCAGGGCTCTCATTGAACCTAGGCTGACTTTGACTAGACCAGCTGATTAGTGAGACCCTGAGATCAGCCTACACAAACACACCCCACACACACACACATACACACATACACACATTGGGTTATAGACACAGGCTGCTGCATCTGACTTTTGCATATATGCTGGGGATCTTAACACAGGTTAGGTCCTCATACTTGCACAGCAATTAGCACTTTTCCCAATGAGCCATCACCTCAACTCTAGTTTTATTTTTTTAAAATATCTCATAAGGGGGATTTTGAGTGTTGCTAACAAAAGAAAATGATAACCACCAGGGTGATAGATACGACACCATGAGTAAATCATACACTTTATATGCATGTTTTGAAATGTCACACTGTACCCTGCAAATACAATTGCTCTTCGTTGATTGAATGGATGGATAGATGGATGTGTATTAGTCAGGGACTCTAGAGTAACAAAACTTATCAAATAAATCTCTCTCTGTCTGTCTGTCTATCTGTCTGTCTGTCTCTAATAAGTGGGATTTATTAGAATGGCTTGTGGGTACAGTCCAACTAATCTGACAGTGGAGAGCTGTGAACAGGAAGTCCAAGAATTCAGAAGTTTCTCAGTCCATGAGAGTGGAAGTCTCAGCTGGTCTTCCGTATATTCGGAAATATACGGAAATAAGTAGGCTCTAATGGTAGTGAAGGAATGTATTTGCTAGCAAGTCGAGGGCAAGCAGGAAAAGAGCAAAGCTTCCTTCTTCCAACTCCTTATATGGGCTTCTAGCATAAGGCATGACCCAGAATAGATCTGGATTAAATGTAGTTTTAAATGGCATTAATTTGGGGGAGGAATGAAATTTTTAAATGGCATTAAATGGTATGTCTTTTCCTAGCTCAAATAGTCTGAATTAAAGGCATATCTTCCTACCTCAAAGATCCATATTAGAAGTGGATCTTCTTACTTCAAATTAAGCAAAAATATTCCACAGGTGTGCCCTCCGTTTTTGGATTTTAAGTTCCAGATATAATCAAGTAACAACCAAAGACAGCTGTCACAAGTTCACCCTTGTCAACTTGACATACAATTATATATCTTTATGCCATGATTAATTTCCAAATGAAAACAATAACCAGGTCATAACAACACCTAAACATGTATAACTATCCCACATACAATCAGAAACACATTATCTATTTGACTGGATTGTAATTATGCCTAACATACAACTGCAAACATATTATAAATTGTTCCATGAGATACATTCTTTTGGTATCTCAAACTTAAATATGATAACCATTGATATTCTCTTGATTGGTATTATATAACATTATAAAGAAAATAAGGAAAGAAAACATCCCACCTGGATTAGGCTGTGATAGTTTACCTTTGACTTCAATCACAGGACATGGTAGCACCAAGAGACACCTGCACTCCGGACATAATCCTTCTTACCTCCATTGTGGAGAAGCAATCCAATTTCCCCGTGATAATCTGATCAATCATCCCTCCTAACACTGTTATTTCTTCCTTAGCCTGAATGCTTAAGGGCATTAGAAGTCCAAAGTGGGCTAGGAGATGGTGACACTCGCCTTTAATCCCAGCACTCAAGAGGCAGAGGCAGGCAGATCTCTGTGAGTTCGAGGCCAGCCTGGTCTATAAGAACTAGTTCCAGGACAGATAGGAAGGACTACACAGAGAAACCCTGTCTCAAAAAAGACAAAAAAGGCCAAAGTGGCCAGGGAGAAGCTGGCTTCCAGTTCAAAGGAATGTTTGTTATGTTTCCTGGCAGGAACTCTTCCTCAGTAATTTGATATGTAACACCCCCCCCCCCCCCCTCTCTTCTCTCTCCCCTCCCTCCCCTTTTTTTTGACTTAGAAAGTTGAAGGCACTGAGTTTGATCTCCCTCTTCACCCCCAAAATGAAAATCAGCTTTGGGAGTTTCCAATCATGCACCTGCCATGAGCTCAGAACTAAAGAAAACACATTTCTAATTTTAACTTTCCAAATCTCAGTTTTATCATTCTTTAAAGGCACAATGAAGTACAGAGGACTTGCTAGCACCACCGCCTTATTCAGTTATATACTGCTACTATGTACTGTTACTGTCACTTACATTGTTATGTACTGTTACTGTTACCAGATACACAGGGGAAATGTAAAATTGTGATTTCCTGAAACACTGAGAGTTCTCCAAGCCAAGCTAAGTTGTGTAGCTTTCCAGAAAATACCGGTGGTTGACATACAGTGGTTACCCTAACCTGTTAAGAGTTAAAGATTTAGGCAGCTTCTATCTTCTATTCTGTTCACACCACTTAGCACAATAACTACATACACAGCAGGTATTTGCTACTTAGTAACTGGCTGCCTGACTAACTGGAAAGAGGCAAATATTTTACCTATTAATATACATACTTGTTTAGATACAGGTAGGATAAAACAATTGAGAAAGAAAGGTAATCATAACTTTACAGACCAGCAACTAATCACCCTTAATGATTGGTCAAGGTCTTTGTAGATTTTTTCTTTTCTGTTTTTGTTTTTCGAGACAGGGTTTCTCTGTGTAGCTTTGTAGACCAGTCTGGCCTCAGACTCACAGAGATCTACTGCCTCTGCCTCTCAAGTGCTGGGATTAAAGGCATGCACCACCACCCTCCCCCTCCTGGCCTGACCCACTTTTTAAATGGTACACTATATACTTCCTTTACTGTAAGCCCAAACTGCAATTTTATATAGTGACGTCTTGAATGTTATTTCTGAAAGAGCCTTATACCAGATGCACAGGGTATGGATCTCTTATTATCATTATTGCATTATTTTTTTTAATGGCTGCTTGTTTGGCACATGGGCAGTAAGTTTTCTCCTCGTTTTGACAGGATGCAACGGGAAGTTTTGTACTACCCTTCCGGCAAGTTATGTATGCCCCGTATCCAACCACACACATTGATGTGGATGTCAATACTGTCAAGCAGATGCCACCATGTCATGAACATATTTATAATCAACGCAGATACATGAGATCAGAGCTGACAGCCTTCTGGAGGGCAACATCAGAAGAGGACATGGCTCAGGACACCATCATCTACACAGATGAAAGCTTCACTCCTGATTTGTATGTGACACTTGGGCTTTGGGTGTCATTGTCAAACAACAGAAAACTTTTGTCGTTTACAAGTAAAAACAATGCAAGTAGCATTTAAAAGGAAAGAAATGTAGCAGGCATAATGATGCTTGAAGAAGCATTTAATCAGCCACTTTTTCTTTACTTTTTTAATTTTTAAATGATGATGATGATGATGCAGACTCTTATATGGCCAATTGAGAACTCACTGGATTTACTCTAAAAACAAATGTTTAATAAATGCATACTGAAGGCAGGAGAGATGCCTCAGCTGTTAAAGGCTAGGCTCACAACCAAAAATATAAATACATACTGAACTCTACTTACTTACTGAAGTGCCAAGGTTAACAGTTGAAGTGCCAAGGTTAACAGTTGTCAATCAGAAAATGCCAGCTCCTACTGCTAGTAATTTAGTGTTTAATGGTCATTGAACATCCTTGTACACTAAACTGCAATAATTCAAAGCCTTTTTTTCTTGGATATGAGTGTAAAAACAAAGTAGTTCATATATATGAAGAGAACACTCTTCCTTTGCATTGTACATTTTGCTTTTTATTTCCTACCAGAAAATGTGGTCAGCAAAGTAAAAGACAATAAGTAAGTATTGACAATAAAATATATGTTTTAGGCTGAAGATGTAGCTCAATGGTAGAGCACTTGCGTATATGCACAGGGACCTAGATTTGTTCCAAGGAAAGAAAGAAGGAAGGGAAAGGGGGGAGAAAGAAAATGAGGGAAGGAGGGAAGAGAATGGGAGAAGGAATGGGAGAAAGGAAGGAAGAATTCACATTGTTTATGGTTTTAATTTAGGATTACACATTAACAGAAATCTTATTTCACTCACATATTGCAAATCAAAGTAATAATTTCACTGCTCTAGAGCATAGTTTAAAAGTGCTGAATTAAAATTTAAGGACAATAAATGTGTTGGTAATATTAAAAAATAAGTAAGTATTGATTGGTTAGGAGAAAAATTATGATCTTGAATTATGAAACTTCTAGAATGCATTTAAATGATATTCTAAAGTCTGAAAAAGAACTGATACAGTATTACTGTCCACTTGAATCAACTAAGGGCTTGAAATAGCGATAGTCCTTAGAATATACTCAGAATACGTTAATTGTGATTATATGGGTTGAAGGGCTTTAGGCAGCAGTAAATTTGGTGCAAATGTGTGTATCCTGTGTCTCTGCAGAAGAAAACAGAGCTGAAACAAGAGACATGGGGTACACTAATAGCCACAGTAAACTGCTGGCCATGAGCACAATAGGAACATGATGCCCAGAGGTCCTAGCATGTAGAAGAACCTTTTTTGACAGTTCCCCTAGGCTCTTTTTATTTGCATAGAAACGTTGAGAGGAATTGTTTCAGAAAACTAATTGGTCAAATTGAAATTTCATTTCACTAGTTCACATACTGACAGTCTTGGAAAACATGTAGAAGTCTTCTCACTGAGTCAGCATGCCAGCATCTTCCTCATAACTAATGTATTTGAAGTCCTGCTTATTTCTTTCTTTTTTTTTTTTTTTTAGTTGATTGCTTAGAGTCTCTTCTCAGAAAATGTAGATTTGAATAGATTTGCACCCTGTTAGTGTTTTTGTTTTTGAGTGTTTGTTTGATTGATTTGACAAAAGCAATTTATCGGCTATTCTGGCATGACAAAATAATGTTGTGAATTTTAGAATTTTATTTCCAGTTCTAAGTAAATGTTTTGAATATAAAATTGTCAAAAATATTTTCAAGCAGAAAATTATATTGTAACTTCTATTATTGTGGACTCATATTAGTATTAGCACACTTTAAATAATATTCACTTTTAAGTTTGGGAAGCTTGGGAGTTCAAATTTGGGGATTCACACAATCTGGACAATTGCTGTACCACTGAGCCACGTCCCCAATTAATTTTTAATTTTAACCTTTTTAAGATAAAAGCAGTCACTTACAATACATTAAAATATGTGTTAGCCGGGCAGAGTCAGGCAGATCTTTGTGAGTTCGAGTTCAGCCTGGTCTACAGAGTGAGTTCCAAGACAGGCTCCAAAGCTACAGAGAAACCCTGTCACAAAAAAAAAAAAAAGAATATGTGATTTCCCTGGAGATAGTCTTTGCTTTCCCTGCTCTTTTGTGATCCAGATTTTTATTCAGTAAAACAGAAGTTGGAAAGTGGTAGACTTAAGTCCTAACCTGTCCGTGAAGCCTAATGATTGTGCTGTCAGTGCCCAGTGCTGTCGTGAAATGCTGGTATTTCCCCTTCTTGGTTTCTTTCTCTGGCTTGCACACTCGTCTCCTAAGACTACGAAACCTGCAGTGCTTTCCACTGTTTCTGCATATTCGCTCTTCCTCTGCTGTTCCTATCCAGGTGTATTGTGATCTCTACTCCTCGGTCTTGCTTTTCATTTGTCTTATCATAATGAACGTTATATTTTCCCTCTGACATGAATACAGTAGCGTAGGGAAGATGGAAGGGAAGCAATGAAAGGAATGGGGTCTGAGAAAAAACATCTGTCTTGTCTGTGAGCTTCTGCTCTGACCTGTGCTGACAAAGCTCACTTCAATTGGCCGTTTTGTCTGGACTTTACACGCCAGTCTTTGCTGAGGTAGTAGTAACTTTCTGAGTTGCTGGTTCATATTTACAGGTATTTAGTCTCTTGACATAAACCCAATTTGTAAGGTGTGGGTTCTAAAACTCATTGACAGATAGGCAGGTGCCCTCTCTGGGTGTATACCCAGCTTATACTGGCTAGAAAAAGACACCACTAATATACAAATGTTCCCCTGAGTTAAAATGAATCTGTGTTTGTGTGTGTGTGTGTGTGTGTGTGTGCGCGCGCGCGCGCGCGCGCACTGAATATTGAATCCAGGGCCTCATACAAACTAAGTATGCATTCCAAATATTCACATCCATATTCTCACATATCTGTTTATAAAATGTTAACTTTTTGACTGGAGTGAGAGGTTATGGAAACTGACTCTATAAAAAAAACATTTAATATTTGGACTACTTTCTTCTTAGGAATATTTTCCAAGATGTCTTACATGGAGATACTCTAGTGAAAGCCTTCCTGGATCAGGTAAACATGATACCAGCCATGACATGTTTTCTTTTAAAATATGTCCCACAATGCCTACAAAATACATACAAAGAACCAAAGAATTAAAATGCTTATGGGCCTTTCTGAAGTCTGTAAATAAATTTCCCTTGGAATTATTAATCAGAAATAGCCTGTATATTAGCAGTTAAAAACAGTATTCCCTATCCTACTAGTTGTTTTAAGTACTATCCTGTATCTTAAGGATTTTTTCATTGAATAGGAGTGTACTTTTATTTGCCTTAATTGAATTGAAAATGTTCTTAAACTTAGTATACTTGTACTTAAAGTGTAGCATCTTTATTGTCTCGAGTTTTTAAAATATCTGCTGAGCTCTACATTTGGAAAGGTGGTGGATTGTATGGGACTTGTTTCTAACCACAACCAGAGTTTTATCATAATACCATTCTGGGAATCAGGCCAGGACCCTATGTCATAGACCTGGCTTTACATAATGAGATTCTCCTGTTAACTGGGTCTAGGTCTCGATCTGGGTCTGTGTGTGATGTGTGACAGTACAGAGTTAGAGGATAATCCATAGTCATGTAATTCCACATTTCTGAAGCTGAAATAAAATTGCACGTGTCCTCTACTCCACACAACCTAAAACAATTCACATAATGATTTTTACATAATAAAATAAGGATACATTTATATGTAGAATGCAAAATCTCAGTTCATTTTTAACATTAAAATAGAAAATCTGGAAAACTGTCATTGTTTCCAGACGATTGCCACTACCACAGCCCTGCCCTTCGGGAATCAGAAGAAGTGGCTGTAATGGGTGATGGGCGTCAGATCCTGTCAACAATGACATGGAAGCTGCTACATAAAAATATACTGAAACTGTATTGTCTCATGTTCCTGCAGGTCTTCCATTTGAAACCTGGCCTGTCTCTCAGGAGTACTTTCCTTGCACAGTTCCTACTCGTTCTTCACAGAAAAGCCTTGACACTAATCAAATACATAGAGGACGATACGTGAGTCCTGTTCTGCTATAGAAAAACCTTTATGCATTGTAAGTTTCTGTTTGGTTCCCTTTGAACAGTGTCTGTAATATAACGTTTGGTTTTTTGTTTGTTTCTTTTGTTTATAGGCAGAAGGGGAAAAAGCCCTTTAAGTCTCTTCGGAACCTGAAGATAGATCTTGACTTAACAGCAGAGGGCGATCTTAACATAATAATGGCTCTAGCTGAGAAAATTAAGCCAGGCCTACACTCTTTCATCTTTGGGAGACCTTTCTACACTAGTGTACAAGAACGTGATGTTCTAATGACTTTTTGAACATGTGGTTTGCTGTGTACATCTCATCACAGTCAGGCTTGCTGTTACAGTAGCTCCGTGGTGTGGACACATTCTTCCTCCAGCATCCTGCTCTAGGAGTTAGTTACACTACACTTGTCACAGGAGGTCTGTACAGGAGTGTCAGGTGCAGCGTTACAGTGAATGTCCATTTTCCTAGAATAGATGTACTCTTAGGGACTTATGTTTACAGTCATCCTAAATGCTATTGCTGTCTTTTAAAGATATGAATGATAGGAAATAAACTTGACATAACTGCTTGTTTTTTTAAAAAAATAAAATAAAAACTTATGATTAATGGTTTACATGTATCATAGTGAAGCCCTAGTTAACTTTTACAGATACAGTGCAAGTTCACTCTCTGTCCCTCAGTGTTCTGTGGTGTGTAGAATTACATTCTTCTGCAACAACTGAAAATTAGAGCCTTCCAACTTTTCAGTTCCACAGAAAGGAACTTAGCTTGACTACAGGACGTTTTGGAAGAAGGCATTGATAAAGCAGAGTTTTACATGAAATCAATCGTTAGAACTTCCTTGATAGACTTAGTCCTTCAGATTTAGTCTGTATAGAAACGCCGAGCAGTCGTGTGTGGTCACTGAACCGTGGTATGCTTTATGTTGGTTTATTGTCGTAACTTTGTCAAAGAAAGTGACATTTTGTTTTATAATTGCTGCCAATTTTTAAAATTAATTTTCATTATTTTTGAGCTGAGTGCACCTCCTGTGCCTTTCCCAGTCTTGGAAATATGATTTCTTGGAGGAGGGTCAGATTTCACTGCTCGGCTGTCTCTGTCTGACTTACCTTGGGCACGGTCTGCCATGTGCCTGGCTTGGAAGTCCTTGTGAAATATGTCAGAGAATACATGAGCTGATAAATCTTCTTTCAAGATCAGGAAGGCTTCTTGCTGCTTTCCTTCCATTTTTGCCTGTAATCTGTGTGTTTTCCATGTTGCCTGCATCATAAGAACAGCGGGAGAAATTTGACCCCAGTGCTATTTTTCTAGGTGCTATTATGGCAAATTCAGTGGTCTGTTTTTGTTCCTGTAATATTTGACATCTTGCTGGCTGTGAAATACTGATTAGTAGAGTTCTGTGATAGAGCAGTGTTGACATAGGAGTATGCATAAACACAAATAAGTATTTTATTTAAAACTGTGGACTTAACATAAAAGGGAGAATATATTTATTTTTTACAAAAGGAATAAGAATGGAGCCTTTTCCCCACCCATCAAATTTAGCAAGAAAAAAAAAAGTTCTATTCTGAAAGGTCACAGTGGCTTTGATATTACAAATCAGAAAAGTGTAGCCATCTTAATTTTGAAACACACACTGACCAGGATAGCTTATGAACTCCAAGCCGGTCGTTGTGGTAAAGTGTGTAGATTCCACCTTTTAGTGTCCCACACTTAAAGCTTTACACAGAAGAGTCTTACTTAAGCGCTAATTGTTTTCCTTTGCTGGTTTACTGTGGTGTTATAGAGAATGTAAGTTGTACAGTGAAATAAGTTATTGAAGCATGTGTAAACACTGTTATATGTCCTTTCTCCTAGGTGGGGAATTTTGAATAAAATACTTTTGAAATTCTGTTTTAGTTCTTCATTCAGGAAAAAATACTGCTGGGAGAGAGGGGCGTGATTAGCTTCCTGTTATGCTGAGTCATGTTGAATCCAAACCATGTTTTTAATCTTTTCAGAGAAGACATTCAAGTTTATGAATGATGCTAGAGCATTACATTTAAAAAATAATAGTAAAACTGCCAAGTATGTTAGTACATACTTGTAATTCCAGTACTTGGGAGGTAGAGGCAGGAGGACCAGAAGTTCAAGGACACCCTGAGCTGCACGATGCTCATGACCCTGTCTAAAATACAAGCTTCCCTCTTAACTTCCAGTATTGAATCTTGTTTTTTTTTTTCCCATCATACATTAATATTTCACATACGGAATAATTCTTAAACTCTCCTTTGGAAATTTTCCTACTGAGGTTGGACTGATAGTTCAGTTGGTAAAGGTGCCTGTTGCCAAATGTGACAACATGAGTTCAATCACAGACCCACCTGGTAAAAGGAAGAAACTCCTGCAGCTTGTCCCCTGACCTGTATGCATGGACCACGGCATGTGTATACTCGAACATATGTTCACACCACATTTTTTAAATTCCTATTACAATGATAGTGATATAATCTATACTGATTTACTGTTTCCAAGTCATTGATATGGGTACCCAACTTAAAATACAAAGGCTCAACAAAGTGCTTTTGTTTGGAAAGCAAGAAATGAGGTAGACATTTTTCACTCCAAGAGAAAAATTCTATTCATAAGTAGAGCAGTTAAGTGGAGAGAATGCTGCAACATGAAGAGAGCCAGGAATACAGCTCAGTTGAGCCCTGGTCTCAACTCCTAGCACTGAGGAAGAGTATAGGATTCTCAAATCAGGAAACAAAATCATATAAAAATACTGCAAGTTAATCAGAAAAATAGTGACTCTCAATCTTAGGTTACACTAACTGTTGTGGAATTGCCCAAATTGGTCTTGCTCCCAATCTGCTGAGTAAGGCTTGAAGTAATGAAGAGTGTTACTGGCCTCAATTAACACCACTTCCTCACAGGACTGCTTCAGTCTGCCATCACCATCCATAACTGTCGTTTTTTTAGATGTGAGAAAACTAAAGCTTGACTCGAAGCCAATAATTGCTCAAATTTGATTTTATCCCCAGCTGTTAAAGTCATTTCAAGGCACATACCATCTAGCAAAGTTCCTCCCTGTAGTGAGTACTCAACATTGTTGAATTAAGGACACTGAAAAAAAATCAAGTCTGTGTTCTCAAGCTTTTCTGAGACTCATTTCTTTCCCTGAAGGTATTTTTAAAAATCACTTCTTATTATAATGTAAGCTTTTAAATTGTGATTAAATGCAGTAATTTTGTGTACAAATTCACTAGTATTTGCACGAAGCTGCTGTCATCGAAACCAACCTCCTTTTGTCCTTGCTCGCCACTCTTCCCAGCTTCTGTTAATTCTACCTTCATAGTAAGTCTCTAGGTCTGAGTATGAGAGAAAATACCCAGTCTTTGTCATCCGGTGTTATTTCACTTAACGTGATATTTTCCAGTTCCATTTCCATCCATTTCACTGCAAATAACAGGGTTTCATTCCGCTTTATGACCAAATCACACTTTTATCTGTATATATCGTATTTTCTTTATTCATCTCTTGAACGGTGTGGTTTAAAAGAAAATGACCCCCAAAGGGAGTGGCACTATTAGGAGGTGTGGCTTTGTTGGAGTAGGCGTGGTCTTGTTGAAAGAAGTGTGTCACTGTGGAGATAGGCTTTGAGGTCTTTTGCTAAGGCTGCCAGATATAGGACTCTCAGCTACTTCTTCACCACCGTGTCTGCCTGCTTGTCGCCATGCTCCCCACCATGATGATAATGGATTGAACTTGTGAAACTGTGAGCCACCCCAATTAAATGTTTTTGCTTATAAAAGTTGCCATGGTCATGGTGTCTCTTCACAGCAATAGATATCATAACTAAGGGGGGTTGGAGAGATAGCTCAGGGGTTAAGAGCATTGACTGCTCTTCCAGAGGTCCTGAGTTCAATTCCTAGCAACCACATGGTGGCTCACAACCTCTCTCATGAGATCTGGTGCCCTTTTCCGGCCTGCAGGCATACATGCAGGCAGAACATTGTATACATAATAAAATCTTTAAAAAAAAAAAAGAAATCATAACTAAGACAAAATGGCATCAAGACTAATGTCTAGGGTTACATCTGTACTGATTTCTTAGCCTCTGTGAATAGTGTCACATGATTTCACTTCCTTTGGTTATGTCTCCAGAAATAGAATTGATGGATCATCTGGAAGATCCATTTTTAGGGCTGGGTGTATGTGTTGTCTTGCATGTGTAGGTATAAATTAGGAGCATGTGCACACGCAAATGGCACTTTCTGTGAAGGACAGCTGGACATTGGATATCTTCCTCGGTGACTGTCCATTTCATTTACTGACACTGGGTCTTTTGCTGAACCTGGAGCTTGCAGATTCAGCTAGTTAGACAGCTTATCCCAAGGGTCCCATGTCTTCAGCCTCTAAGCACTGAAATTATGGGTACCTGCCCAGCTTTTGTTATGTGGTGCTGAGGATCTGAACTGCAGTCCTTGTGCCTGCATAGCAATCACTATCCAGCTCCATCTCCCCAGCCCCCATGTTTAGCATTTTAAGGAACCTCTATATACCTTTCTCCATAATGGCCATACTAATTTACATTCTGTTAGCATCCCAGCACTGGAACAGAACCCCTTAGGAAGGTCAACTTGCAGAAGGACATACATGCATACTTACTATGGACCCATAGTCACTTGGTCTGTTGTTTCTGCACCTGTGGTAAGACAGAATGTCGTGCTTGGCAATGTAGAGGAGCAGAACTCTTTATTGTGGGGATCCCTGCAAGCTCTATTGCCAACAGAAAAACTAACTACCTGAGGCAAGAAGGAAACTCATGTCAGTATGAGGCTGACGGCAGTCCAGTTTATTTTAGACATATTTAAGTACAGTACAAGTTTAGAAAAAATGTTTCCTGGTAACGGTTATCCCAATCCCATGGGCACAATAGAGCTTAAGCCCTGACTATATCAAAACTCTTTAGCAACATACATGTCTCCTCTACCATGGACATGGGTTCTATAACTTAAGAGCCTAGAATCTGTGATGGTCTCTGATGGAGATAGCCTAGAAGTCATCAGGCCATGAAGTACTGTGATGTCTCCTCTAAGGATAGGTTCTGTTGACTGAGAAACAAAGATAATGGTGTGGGGAGGAAGAGTCTGGGATTAAGCATTCTGAGGGATCTGGATGAGGCCTGCCCAACAGAGAGCAAAAGTCACCAGGTGATTAACAACATCCACCCCCAGCCTTCTTGGTGGGAAACAGGTATATGTCTCCATTGAGGAGACAGCCGAGTGATTACTATTCCTATTCTCTGGTTCTTACCTGTGAGCACTTATGCCCTCTACAGTGTATCTCCTGGCAGCCAGGATGCAGGAAGAGAAGGGACCAAGGACAAAATACACCCTCAACAGCATGCTTCCCAGTAACCTGGTTCCTCCAGCTAGGTCCCTTTTCCTAAAACTTCCACACATGTCTCAGTTGGATTTTTGTCAACTTGATACAAGCTAGATTTACCTGGGAAAAGGGACCTCAACTGAGAAAATGCCTCCATCAGATGGCCTTTAGGTAAATTGTGTGGGGCATTTTCTTGATCAGTGGTTGATGTGTGAGGGGCCAGACCACTGTGGGCTGTGCCACCCTTGGGGAGATGATGCAGCACTGTCTAAGAAAGCAGGCTGAGCCAGGCAGTGGTAGCCCATGACTTTAATCCCAGTACTTGGGAGGCAGAGGCAGGTGAATCTATGAGTTTGAGGCCAGCCTGGTCTACAGAGTGAGTGCCAGGACAGCCTCCAAAGCTATACAGAGAATCCCTGTCTCGAAAAACCCAAAAAAGGAAAAAAAGAAAAGGAAGGAAGGAAGGAAGGAAGGAAGGAAGGAAGGAAGCTGAGAAAGCCGTGGGGATCATCCAGTAAGCAGTGATCTTTGATGGCTTCTGCTTCAGTTCCTGCAGTGGCTTCCTTCAAGGGACTGTGACTGAGAATACGGAAGTCAAATACACCCTTTCCTTCCTAAGTTGCTTTTGATTATAGTGTGTTATCATAGCAATAGAAACTTAAGACAGAAATAGGTACCAGGTTCATGGGATGTTGCTGCGACAAACCTGACCATGGTGTTTGGGGGAGGGTTGTGGAGCTTTGGGCTAGAAAAGCCATTCATTAATGTTGAGCTTAATGAGCTATTTTTGTAGGAACTAAGAAGATAATGCTGAGAGCAACACAGACGAAAGAGGGAGGCCTGGCTTGTGATTTTCTGAGAGAAGCACAAATTCTACAAGGACCATTCAAAATTTGTGGTTCTGGTCAGCTGGGGTTGAATAATCAGGCTTGGTCATGGTGTTTTATCATAGCAATAGAAACATGACTAATGCATACACCTACACACTTACATATAACCAGGTAGACAATACAAGTCTCCAAACACGTAAAAGGATTCAATTCACAGAAATTATATCTGGCTACAGAGAAATTGAATTGTAGACCGATGAGGGATATTGGGGAGACCTCAAACACCTGGAAATGAGGAGGCACTTTTAGAAAGTAAGACATGGGGCTGCAGAGAAGGCTCAGGGTTAAGAGCCCATGTGGTTTTTGCAAAGGACTGGCTCTCAGCACCCATATAGAGCAGCTCACAACAGCTAGTGCCGGGAGATCTGGTGCCCTCTCTGGCTTTTGTGATCACCCATGTGCATGTACACACACACACACATACATACACACACACACCTTTAAAAAAAGAATTTCTAGCCCAGCGTTGGTGGCACATGCCTTTAATCCCAACACTCGGGAGGCAGAGGCAAGCGGATCTCTGTGAGTTCGAGGCCAGCCTGGTCTACAGAGCGAGTGCCAGGATAGGCTCCAAAGCTTACACAGAGAAACCCTATCTCGAAAAACAAAATAAATAAATAAATAAATAAAT